TTTGCCATTGCCTTTTTCTGTGTGTGAATGGAGTAATTGTTGGGATGCCACGGAGGAAAACTCCGTGTTGCCTAGACCACGGCCTTGCCCAACACAAGTTATAAATTCGGGCACCACCGGGAATCGAACCCGAGACCCCCAGGATTACAAGGCCAACGTTCTAACCGCTAGACCACCGTGGCTATTAAGGTAAGGTTTATAGATTAGGTCATTAAATTGCCTTAGGTTTCAGTAGATTTCGACTTTTTCCCATTCATTTCTGATTCCAGTCAGCTACATCGCTTTTAAGACATCGCTCGTCTGCTGTCTTTTGCAGGTGGAGTGCAGTGATTATTACTGGCTAATGCCAGGAACGTAAAAGACGGTTTCGACACCTAAATAACGGGTTTTTGCAGGAAAATACACACTGACACAACGACCGCTTGGCAGTAAATTTACTCAATAGATTGGAAGTGGCTACAGGTGAGTGATTAAATCGTGTAACGGGCCAGAATATGGCTGTCTTCTGGGTTGTTGAGTCGCGTAATCTGGTAGAAGTTTATCGACGATGGAGGCAGCAAGGACCTCTGAAACGTCGGTAAACTTCTACCAGACTACGCGACGCAACAACCCAGAAGACAGCCATATTCTTTTCAGCATAATTTTCCTTTCGATCAGCTTCAACAAAATACAAACGTTTAGTATCTGACAAAACGGATACTGGGTTTAGGTCGTATATGAAACTGTAGACGCCTTGTACCAGTCATCTATACCAGTCGTATTCATCCTGGGGTACGCGAAGACATCTTAGGGGGTACGCGAAATTTAAAAAAAATATATATTATTTTATGATAAACACTGAATAATCAGTAATGTAATTTATTTAATTTATTTTAGATGTAGATTATATACTACGTATAACTTGAATTATACACCAACAACTTTGGGGGTACAAAATTGAAGAGAAATTATATATGGGGGGTACGCGAACAAAAAAGTTTGAATATCACTGATCTATACCCTCATCTCATCACAGCGGGAAAAAATTCTAAACATCGCCGAACGGTCAAATACGATAACAAAACACTTTAAGGAGTAGAAGAGTTACAAGTCGTCAGATATTGACGTCGTCCAACATAAAAATATTTTAACAGTGATTTATACGGGGTAATTTACAATACATTAAGCCTAATTAAAGTCACTGTATCATTTTATTAATTTAAATTCCACTCGAGTCTCACATTTCAGCAAAATTTCATTGCACAAAAAAAAAAAAATCGATTTTCGAAATAAATAATAATATCTTCAGAAAGTTGCCAAATATAAGTTCTATTTTTTTTTTTGCAAGACAAATAATTTTAGTCAATGTAATATAAACAACGTTGCATGATTCCAAAGTCCATAAGACTAATGTGGCGAGATGTTCTATAAAGCAAAGGCTCGTAAATCTTTTCGTAGTGACTACACCCAAAGAACACTTCGAGCACGAGCTACTTCGGCAATAAAGACGGACGCAGGATCAATTTACTACTCATAAAATTAAACAATAAAAAATAGTTCATTTTACAGGAGGTTAAGTTACACACAGAAGCAAATTCTTACTGCAGTTAACGTGATGATACAGCGTATTTTTTTTTAAAAACTTCTATGACGTAATACTTTCGATTAAAACACCTGACGTGGGCGAACGTCAACTTCGTATTTGTCTCAAATGTTTACAAATTTTATAAACTTTGCTACGCTGTCTACTGAGTAGAATTGTACACCTATGCACTTGTTCTTGAGTTCAAAATATATTCCGAAGCAAAAGTTCAAAGGTTGACTCCAGCTCAAATACACTCAAAGACCGGGGAGCCGACTAATATAATCTGAGTGGAGCGGATGAGACCAATTACGTCACACAAGCACTCGTGAATAATATTCCCTTCGAATCCGCGATCATCACCGGATCAAACCGGACGTCAGAAACTGAAACTTAAATTCGGACGCCGATTGGTTAAGATTTGTTGGCGATCAAGTCATTAGAGAAGTGAAACGGTATCTTGAGGGTGTTTGATAACAGGGTGCTTACGAAAATATCTCGAAATAAGAGAGATGGATTGACAGTAAGCTGGAAATATTTTAAATGTTAATTATTGTAATATTTTAATATTTAATAAGAATTATTGTGATTAGACGGACAAGATTTAATATATACTGGAGAAAATACTATAATTAGAATTTATGTAATTTTTACAACAACAAATATTATTGAGATGATCAAATCGACTTGAAAAACAAGATGGAGTGGAATATTAATACGAAATTAACGCAGTTTATATATATATATATATACCTAATATTTTTACGATATTGTATAAGGAGCATTCATGTTGTACGATTTGTGAGGGAAATTTTTTTTTTACAAGGGTTTGTCCTGCTTAAATTTCTGTCCTTGAGAAAAGAATTCCAGACAACAAAATGTCAGACGGATTAAGAACTATTCCTCTCGATTCTAAAAAACAAATATTTCTTTACATCGTTTCAAACACGAATAGCAGATGACACATAGATGGCTGTCCTCTGGGTTGTATAGCACTGTGTAGTCTGGTAGAGAAGTTTACCAAAGTTTCAGAGGCCCTTGCTTCTACCACCCAGAAGACAACCATCTTCGAAGTCATCGCCGTGAAAACCTCAGATCCTACTTAGAACATACTTACCCTGGCACGATCGAACGTAACTGCAGATTCCAAGGAGTCATCCGATCCGCCTGCTTCAGACATCGCCATAAACTCATGCGTCTTGTAGGCCAATTCGGGGTGCTTCTTTCTGCGGGGTAAAGCCGGTTCGAACCTCGGCACTGTAACCAACATCACATTGTCAGGTCCACTAAAATCCTACAAAATCAGAATCACCAGCTACTGGGAACAGAACAGAACCTGATACCCCATTAAGGCTTTGACCGGGATGTTCTTTTGTTAAATCTTATGTGGTATCGCCTGATTCGACTTCTAATGGTTAAGTGAAGTGTTTTCTTCGCGGTACGGTCTGGATTCGTAAATATTATGAAGACGAGCTTCGGCTTCAAAGGGTTAACCAGCTGATTTTCGTAATGGTGAGGTGTAGTGTTTTCTTCGCGGTACGGACTGAATTCATAAATAATATTCAGACGATCTTCGTCTTCAAAGGGTTAACCAGCTGATTTTCGTAATGGTGAGGTGTAGTGTTTTCTTCGCGGTACGGACTGAATTCATAAATAATATTCAGACGATCTTCGTCTTCAAAGGGTTAACCAGCTGATTTTCGTAATGGTGAGGTGTAGTGTTTTCTTCGCGGTACGGACTGAATTCATAAATAATATTCAGACGATCTTCGGCTTCAAAGGGTTAAATAATAAGCAAGACTTAAGCAGTAGACAGTAATATTCGGGCAACACGTCTGTATTTTATAACCCAATTCTCGTGGTAGATCCCAGAACATCACAACGAGTCTGGCGATCACGCCACGTGGGTGTAATTATTACATAAACTGCAGAGGGAATACGAGTGCCTACAGTAGATATATTTGGAACAAAGTAGTCACGCAGGAGTAGTTTAATGTCTCGACAGCCTCACTATCCTCAGAAGTAGCAAAATACGAGAAAATTGCCTCTCATAACACACAGCTCTAATTACTGAACTGTCCCAAAGAGAGCACTTGGAATTTCGGATGTCGTCAAACAACATCTTTAAGAAACTCGACAATCAATCTAACGAATCTAGTACTTCTTCAACAGCGTCCATTTATTGCAAATGTTTTCTATAATTCAAAGCGTGATCAGACATTCAGAGAATACGCAGAAAATGTAAGCCTCGTTACGAAAGACTTGTGCGAAAATTATGGAACTCTCGTACGAGACCTAGCCTTTTTTTGTGGTGAGTATCGTTAGTCATTAAACACGAATGCTTTAACAATACAAGAGTACACTAAAGTAGATCACGGCAGATTTATCCTATAGCAGTGGTATTCAACCTGGGGTACGCGAAGACATCTTAGGGGGTACGTGAAATTTAAAAGAAATATTATTTTATGATAAACACTGAATAATCAGTAATGTAATTTATTTAATTTATTTTAGATGTAGATTATATACTACGTATAACTCGAATTATACACCAACAACTTTGGGGTTACAAAGTTGAAGAGAAATTATATCTGGGGGTACGCGAAGACATCTTAGGGGGTACGTGAAATTTTTAAAAAAAATATATATTATTTTATGATAAACACTGAATAATCAGTAATGTAATTTATTTAATTTATTTTAGATGTATATTATATACTATGTTTAACTTGAATTATACACCAACGACTTTGGGGGTACAAAGTTGAAGAGAAATTATATCTGGGGGTACGAGAAGACATCTTAGGGGGTACGTGAAATTTAAAAGAAATATTATTTTATGATAAACACTGAATAATCAGTAATGTAATTTAATTTATTTATTTTAGATGTAGATTATATACTACGTATAACTTGAATTATACACCAACAACTTTTTGGGGTACAAAGTTGAAGAGAAATTATATCTGGGGGTACGCGAGCAAAAAAATTTGAATACCACTGCTCTATAGGACTCCCACTAAATCGTCTATTATATACAATCGTGGAGCGGATTCTGTAACGAAACGTAAAAATTAATGCAACACGGAAAAACGCGCTTGAAGGCGGACGTGGTCTATTTATAGCAGATTTAAACCACTCGGTTTATTTCCCAACTCGTATGACAGATCGTAAAAATTTCAAATACACAAAACTATAATTTTGAGTGATTTTGTATTGATATAAAACTTGGCCCCCCTCAGCTCAAGGGAAGAACACAGACTGAAGGTGTTCGGGAACACGTGATAAGTAGATACATCCGAAGACGTCTGTCTTCTGGTAGAAGTTTCTCGACGTTTCAGAGGTCCTTGCTCGCCTCCATCACCACATGGCGATACAACCCAGACAACAGATAGCCATTTTCCAATCAATCTTATCTTCACAAGAAGGAACCAGTTCTATAAAGCGACTCCTGAGTTAAATTTGAGGAACTACCGGAAACCACGAACAATCTTGTGATACCTGCGTCATCCCACGCAAAATTCAATCCGTGGACCCTTCAATATGAAGACGAGCAAATCTCTGCACCGTTACGAGCAGTCACGGAACTATTGAAACTAAGATATTCGCCTCGCCAATGCGGAAATTCGTAGCGTAGAAGACAGGATGACTTGCAGATAGATTCAGATGATTTACCTCAACTACAGGGCATCCAGAAATATGCGACGCGAAATACTCTAATTTTTTATTATTATTTAGTGTTCTGTCTGACGACAGGTCCATCTGAACAGGATCCTTCCATCCTTTTCTCGGACTGGGACATGTTCATATACGTTCTTGGCAGATGATCCAGAAGTGGTTTGCCACTGCCTTCTTCTGTGTGTGAATGGAGTAATTGTTGGGATGCCACTGAGGAAAACTCCGTGTTGCCTAGACCACGGCCTTGCCCAACACAAGTTATAAATTCGGGCACCGCCGGGAATGGAACCCGAGACCCCAGGATTACAAGGCCAGCGTTCTAACCGCTACCCTGAAATAATGTAATATAATACCCCTATCCCATATCGTAGTGTGTCTTCAGGTCGATTTCTACAGACGTCCTCGGAAATGGCCTGTGTCCATAATTTATATTCTAACTCATCTTCCTTGATTTCAATATCCTTACCATCAGAGGTAGGGCTACTCAACTGCACGACATAGGCAAGGTTTGAGCCTTAGGTCCCCAGTGAAATACAATTTGTTTAACTGTCACGCGTGTTACATATCTTGGATAAGTCATATTTATTCTCAAACCGATAGACTATTGGATAAAAAGTGCAGACTGTGAAGTTCCTCATCACATCCTTTGTTTTTATTTCTATTGAATTCGTTTCTCTTTGTTTAAACATTCCTCCAAGTTCTTTGTACTCAAATTTTGTGCTGTCCTCAGAATTTTTCACATTCGTCTACATGGATAAAACATTTTTTTTTATTTTCATGTCTTATTTGTATATTCAGGATTTCAGACACGAGACGAGAAGACGTAGATTCTCAACATCAAGGCAGCATAATTTCTTGAATTAACTTCGCCCCTTAATTTCACCATCAACTTAAACCCATTTTTACAGTTCCCTAAGACAGGGAATTATATTCTTTTTCTACGCTTCCAACGTGACAGATTATATAACAAGATCCACGTCAAAACATGGAGAGCCCAGACATAACGATACTGTAGGTCACTTTGTTTCCTTGTTGCTTCATTACGTTTGACAGGAAATGATCCTGGCTGTCTTATGCCTGAAGAAAAACTCGCTGACAAGGAATAACTCATTGTGTTGACTCATTCGTAAATCCTGCCTAGACCATACTTACTGTCATTGTATTGCATTGAGTCTATAACTCGTTTAGTCGACAGAGACGACGTTTAGAAACCTGGCACATGACATCAATATCTTTTATAGAGGAATATAATCTAGGGATTCTGTTCATGTTTCGATCCACTCTTCACTGGAAGCTGTGAGAGGTTTAATGAAGTCAACAACCCAAAAACCAGAAGACAAATCTTTGCATATGACATCGTCAGAGTGACAGTTAATGTCCCAGTGAACTTACCAGAACTCCTATTAAGAACTCGTGAGTCACAGTTTTAATTCCTGGTATGGATATTTCCCCCACCCATAAATATTATCATCTTAAGATCGGTTATATAATTTTTTAAATAAATATTCGTAAAGAATTTGAAACTAGATATACAACTAAAATCTAGCCCAACTGTGTAGGAACCTGAAGACGGAGATAGAGTCCCATCTCCGAAACGTCGTTTTACGTTTTATATTTTATATTTTACTATACGATGGATAATATCCAGGAAAATTTTTATTCAAATAAAAACTGAAACCTTGTAACAAAAAATAAGATTATTATTATTATAAATTATGAAAGTAAGTAAATAGGTCACAATTAGAACAAGAATGTCGAGATTTACTCTGAACCTAAAAGTATGGAATCCCGGCCAATGACCTGATACACCGAGTCGCCCCAAGGCCTTAATAACATTGCCGTTTCCTTCCAAATGAACTTAGAACATTCATCGCCATATTCAATCCTCAACTACATTACATATAAAGTATCTCAAATACAACTCTCTGTCCATCGAATAAATTAAAAAGAAACCCACGACGTTTCGGAAGGTGGATTCTGCTTCCTGCTACCTCAATACGGGAGTAGAACCCAGCTTAAAAAAAATTGTAGTTTTATAATTTTATAATTTAGACGACTGGAAACGTCCGAAATAACAATTTACGCGCCATTTTGAGAAACTTCCAAACTTTGACAGCGGATACTCGCGGAACGGGTCAGAATAAACAAACAGTCTAAAAGCACACTTCAGTTCTTGCTGGATTTCGTCATGTGCCTTAATAAGTATCTTCAAGGTCAATGAACATCCCATTACTGCTGGTAGTGCATTTAATCCGTGTGTCAGACTTCGACATAAAAAAGGATACTAACGTAATCTGCAGATCTTTGAAAATATTGTTTTCCCCCCCAATAACTCTGAATCAGTAATAAGGAAATAAGCGATCAGCTTTGAGATTTTAAAGGACCCGTAATTGGTTATTAATTTTACAATATTAATGTACGGATAATTGTAAAAAAAATGACTGAACTTCTTTAAAACACTACCAACTTCAGAAGCACCTGAAGATGGTTCATCTAAGAACCGAAACATGTAGTGAGAAAGAGATGTTATAAAATGTAAATCGAATGTTTCGATAGGAGCATCACATGGTATTTTAATT